GACTGCGATTTCTTAATAGAAGAGGACTTTGCGCGGCATAAGCAGTGCAACCACGCCGGCGAGGCAGAATACCGCAAACGGGTGCTGTACCTGATGGCGCACGCTGGCTGCAGGCCGATAACCGCTCAAGAGAAGAGAATCATGGTGCAGAATGTTGCTTACTTCCAACAGTTCTGTCACCCTGGCAGCAAGGCCAACCGCTTCTCGGGCGGCGGGGCGGCGCCCCGAAGCGAGGCAGCCTGCGTAGTCTGTGCGCAGAAAGACTACCTGGAGCATCGCCACAAACTCAGCCTGTTTGGAGCAGTGCCGGAGGAGCGTGTCTTTGGGCACTGCGCCGACTCAGCAAGCGATCGCGATGACCTATCCGATGGCGAGGCAGATGCTCCACCCAAGCGTGCTCTGGTGAAGCACCGCGGGGTGTACTATTTGCAGTCCCCGGAGCTCGCGCAGAAGCTCCTGGACGTGGACAGGTACAGGCAGCGGTGGCCACTGATCCCGTGCGAACAGCTGCATGCGTCCAGCGTTCAGCATCCGGAGCACCCAGAGTGGCGGTGGCTGCTACACTCCCGCCGAGTCCCTGTGGTTGCACCACCAGAAGCAACGGCGGGAACCTGCGGTGCTTCTCAGCCTGCTGCCGACAGGTCCGGCGGAGCATCTCAGCCTGCGGACGAAAGGCCTCCGTGCGCAGGGGTGGGAGATGCCAACGCGTTGGTGTGGGTCTGTCGGGATTGCCTCAATGACCTGTGCGCCAAGAAACCGAAGATGCCGTTAAACGCCCTGGTCAACGACAACTGAATCGGCCGGGAGCTCATGCTCGTCCGCAACGCTTCGAAAGCTACTAAGATGCTGGCGTCCCTTGGCCGATGCTGTTGGAAGCAAGTCCGCCTCGGCAAGGGCGCCCCGGATGTCCAGCAGAAAGGCATCTCGGGCAACACTATCCTCTTCGCCCAGCCCACGGCGCAAATCCCGACCATGGAGCTGCCCCCGGAGGAGGGCGCGCTTGTGGACTCTCTGAACATCGTTTTCTCGGGCGCCGCGCACAAACTCCACAAGGCGTACTGGGCAACAGTCAAGCGCGGCGAGTATATGCAGATCGTGAGGGAGCGCAAGCTGCAGTGCGCAACCTTTTCCGAGGTATCCGTCCGTGAGGATGTTGCCCCGACACGGTTGCCGGAGGACGGCGTGCCAGACCACATCGAAGCCTGTCTGCAACCAGTGGGCGGTGTGGACAAAGCCCCGGTACGACTGTTGGGGCCAGCATCCAGGGCGCCGGAAGTGGGCAGAGACGACGAGGCGGGAGACGAGTCTGACGAGGAGACAGAGACAGACAAAGACGGAGAAGCAGCAGAACAGCCTGACATGGCCTACCTGCATGAAAATGTGGCAGAGGTCACAGTTGCAGTGGATCCAGTGCATGACATCGCTCCAGTCCGAATGATGCAAGCGCTGCAAGGCACGCTGTGGCGCTGCAGGAGCAGGCAGCACGCATCGCCAAGAACGAGGTGACACCGACAGTGGCAGACAGCAGCGGTGCTCTTCAGCCTGTTGCCGACGAGGGCGGCAGGCATACGATGCGCAGCATGGTTCTCGATGTACAGAGTGCTGCTCGTTCGTTCGACGAGCGGGCGCAGGTGGCGCTGGAGAAAGCGCAAGCAGGAGCAGACGCGTGCAGGGCTGTGGGCCCGCACTCCTTTTCGGTGCCTACGCAGAAACCCTTGAGTTCTTTCGACAGCAGGTCTTGGCCGGCGTGCTACACAGAGTTCTGGTTCGGGGACGGCGCGCCGAACCTCGAGCGGGAGCGGCCCATGCTGTTCGAACAGGTCGCACGGCGCCTCATCAACCTGGAGGAGCTCGAGTACTCTCTCGCGACCGACGAGGAGCCCTACGAGGCAGCCTGCCAGAGCCGCTTCAGCTCGCCAGAGATCTTTGCTGTCTTCGGCGACGTGATCCGCCGGCTGCGGCTCTTGAAAGGCACTCGGGCGGCGATTGGCAGGAAAGGCTTCGGCACTGACCTCCAGATCCTGTCAGAGGCGTCGGCGGAGGATTTCATGGAGGCGCTAAACATCGCTAAGCCGGCCGACTGCATCGGCTCCGCCATTTCACGCCCGGGCATGCTTGCCAAGGTCAAGACTGCCCTCAGGACGTTGCTACTTAGCACTTCCGATGTCCCTGGCACGGAGGGGCGGAAAACCGCACTCCGCTTCGACGGGCACGGCAACA